TGAACAAACTTTGAAGACACTAACTGAAAGATGTTTCATGCTAAATATCTTAACTCTAGCTATTTGGGTTTTTTCAAAGAAGATTTTTGCTATACACATAAATAAAATCAATGACCCCCGGGGCAGGGCCAATTTTGACCAAAGGGCTTTTATTTGAAAAAACTTTGTAGACACTCACTAGAAGATGTTTCATGCTAAGTATCTAAACTCTAGCTATTTGTTTTTTTTTTCAAAGAATTTTTAATTTAAAGTTTTTGATTTACACATATATTGAAAATCAATGACCCCGGGACAGGGCAAATTTTGACCCCAGGGCTCTTATTTGAACAAATTTGGTAGACACCCATTAGAACATGGTTCATGCTAAATATCTTAGCTCTAGCTCTTTGGGTTCTTTAAAAGAAGATTTTATAAGTTTTTACTATAATGCATATACGGTTAATCAATGACCCCCTGGGGCGGGGCCAATTTTGACCCCAGGGCTTTTATTTGAACAAACTTGATAGACACCTATTAGAAGATATTTCATGCTAAATATCTTAGCTCTAGCTCTTTGAGTTCTTTAAAAGAAGATTTTATAAGTTTTTACTATATGCATATAGGGAAAATCAATGACCCCCGGGGCGGGGCCAATTTTGACCCTAGGGCTTTTATTTGAACAAACATGTTAGACACCCATTAGAAGATGTTTTCATGCTAAATATCTTAGCTCTAGCTCTTTGGATTCATTAAAAGAAGATTTTATAAGTTTTTACTATATGCATATAGGGAAAATCAATGACCCCCTGGGGCGGTGCCAATTTTGACCCCAGGGCTTTTATTTGAACAAACTTGGTAGACACCCATTAGAAGATGTTTCATGCTAAATATCTTAGCTCTAGCTCTTTGGGTTCTTTAAAAGAAGATTTTATAAGTATTTACTATATGCATATAGGGAAAATCAATGACCCCCTGGGGCGGGGCCAATTTTGACCCCAGGGCTTTTATTTGAACAAACTTGATAGACACCTATTAGGAGATGTTTCATGCTAAATATCTTAGCTCTAGCTCTTTGAGTTCTTTAAAAGAAGATTTAATAACTTTTACTATATGCATATAGGGAAAATCAATGACCCCATGGGGCTGGGCCAATTTTGACCCCAGGGCTTTTATTTGAACAAACTTGGTAGATACTCACTAGAAGATGTTTCATGCCAAATATCTAAGCCATAGCTCTTTAGGTTCTTTAAAAGAAGATTTTATAAGATTTTACTATATGCATATAGGGAAAATCAATGACCCCCTGGGGCGGGGCCAATTTTGACCCCAGGGCTTTTATTTGAACAAACTTGGTAGACACCCATTAGAAGATGTTTCATGCTAAATATCTTAGCTCTAGCTCTTTGGGTTCTTTAAAAGAAGATTTTTTAAAGTTTTTACTATATGCATATAGGGAAAATCAATGACCCCCTGGGGCGGGGCCAATTTTGACCCCAGGGCTTTTATTTGAACAAACTTGATAGACACTCAATGCCAAATATCTAAGCTCTACCTCTTTGGGTTTTTTCAAAGAAGATATTTTAAGTTTTTTCTATCGGTTGCCATGGCAACCAGAGTTCTGCATGGAATTAAATTCTTTGAACAATTTTTAAAGGAACATGCCTGTGAAGTTTGGATGAAATTGGCTCAGCGGTTTATGAGGAGATGTCATTTAAAGTAAAAGTTTACGGACGGACGCCGGACGGACGCCGGACGAAAAGCGATCACAAAAGCTGTCACAATAATTTACATGTAATACACAATAAATTAAACTAGAACTATCACTAATGGTGATAAATACCCCCCGCAAGACTGCTTCGGAAATGAGGAAGTTACTAGTAACAGAATACCTTGCAAAAGAATTGAAAAAGAGTTATGGTTGTGGGCAATTAAAGATAGTTGTGGTTCTTGTATGTTGCATTTCTTTTTAATAAGGTTGACAAATGATGAGGTTTTATTGAATTACTCTGTAATAAGGCCAGAAAGAGTTACGCTTCTTGAGCACTGCACTTCCTCTCATTGCGCTTGACCATTGTATGAAGTTGCATTGAATTCTAAACATTAGATTTTAACTTATGCCTCCTGACAAGGAAAAGGAACAAAGGGCAATAACTCTAAAAATACTGAAGATTGAGTTATGGTTATTGTACACTGCACTTCCTCTCATTGCCTTTGGCCATTGTATGAAGTTGTATTTAATTCCAACTACTAGTTTTCAAAATATGCACTGGACAAAAAAAGTAACAAAGGGCAATAACTGTAATTTGTCCAAATAGAGTTATGGTTCTTGTGCACTGCAGTTCATATCACTGCCCTTGACCATTGTATGAAGTTTCATTGAATTCCAACCATTAATTTTCAAGTTATGCACTGGACAATGAAAAGTAACAAAGGGCAAAACTCTTAAACGAGTCAAGAAAGAGTTATGGTTTCTGTGCACTGGGCTTCCTCTCAATATACTTGACCATTGTATGAAATTGTATTGAATTCCAACTCGTAGTTTTCAAGTTATGCTCTGGACAAGAAAAAAGCAATGGAAAAGTAACAAAGGGCAATAACTCTATAATTACTCTGGACAGAGTTATGGTTCTTATGCACTGCACATCCTCTTATTGTGCTTGACCATTTTATGAAGTTGTTTTGAACTCCAACCAGTACTTTTCAAGTTATGCTCCGGACAAGGAAAAGTAACAAAGGGCAGTAACTCTGTAATTAGTCAAGATATAGTTATGGTTCTTGTACACTGCACTTTCTCTTAATGTGCTTGATGATTGTATGAAGTTGTATTGAATTCCAACCAGTAGTTTTCAAGTTATGCTCCAAACAAGGAAAAATATCAAAGGGCAATAAGTCTGTAATTAGTCAAGATGGAGTTATGATTCTTATACACTGAACTTCCTCTCAATGTACTTGATCATTGTATGAAGTTGTATTGAATTCCAACCATTAGTCTTCAAGTTATGCTCCGGACAAAAAAAAAGCTATGGAAAAGTAACAAAGGGCAATAACTCTGTAAATACTTGAGAGAGTTATGGTTCTTGTGCACTGCACTTTCTTTTATTGTGCTTGACCATTGTATGAAGTTGTTTTGAATTCCAACCAGTAGTTTTCAAGTTATGCTCCATACAAGGAAAAGTAACAAAGGGCAATAACTCTGTAATTAGACAACATGGAGTTATGGTTCTTATGCACTGCACTTCCTCTCAATGTGCTTGACCATTGTATGAAATTATATTGAATTCCAACCATTAGTCTTCAAGTTATGGTCCGGACAAAAGAAAGCTATGAAAAAGAAACAAAGGGCAATAACTTTGTAATTACTTTAGATAGAGTTATGGTTCTTGTGTACTGCACTTCCCCTTATTGTGCTTGACTATTGTATGAAGTTGTTTTGAATTCCAACCAGTAGTTTTCATGATATGCTCAGGACAAGGAAAAGTAACTAAGGGCAATAACTCTGTAATTAGTCAATATAGAGTTATGGTTCTTGTGCACTGCACTTCCTTTCAATGTGCTTGATCATTGTATGAAGTTGTATTGAATTCCAATCATTAGTCTTCAAGTTATGCTCCGGACAAGGAAAATGCAACGGACCGCAGGACCGACCAACCAACCGACCGACCACCGAGTGACTCCTATATACCCCCCAAAACTTCCTTTCAGGGGTATAAATGTTTGTTTGTTTGTTTCATTTTACGCCTTTTTCTAACAGTATTTCAGTCATATAGGCGGGTAGTTTCCTAACCATCGTTCCTAGAGAGTTACACCAGTACTAGACTACCTTCCTCCGCGCTAAACTACCAAAGCATCTCCCGGGGATTGAACCCAAGCCAGAGAGGTAACTGGATTAGCAGTCATCGACTCTAACCGCTCGACCACGGAGGCGGTTCAGGGGTATAAATACATGATAATTTAAATGAAATACACAAAACTTTATATGTACAGCTTGCATAGGCAACATGCTTCAAATATTTGCCATGTTATCCACTAGACTCAGAGAGCCATATGATAATATCGAAAATGTACAAAATCAAATAACTGGTATTATCAAATCAGACCCATCATTCAAACATGGTTTAAAATATAAGACATCTCAGGGAATATAACTGGATACAGTAATTACACACTATATACCTGGTAGGAATCAATATTTCAGTAAGTATGGGAACCTCCCTCAGCCACTTCAAATTTGTTACATAATACTTTTTTGACATATCAGAAGCCAAATACATCAAAGAATAATCTCAGGTTGCAAAATTATTTTCAAATACAAGTACAAATTATGAACCTGTCAATTTTATATCTATTTTTTTTATTTTTATTTTTTTTATTCATTTTTCTAAATTTAAGAAATAACTAAATGAAAGGGATGGGAATTCAATGAAAGGGATGGGAATTCACACTAAAATCAGTTTTTCAAATAAATTTCATGCTTTGAACTTCCAGTCAGTTACCTGAATTTTGTATCTGAACATTGGTGTTGTTTTCATTCAACTCTAAATTGTTTCTTATTTCTATAAAAACATCTTTACACTGACTTAAAAGGTTTATTTTTAAGGAGAACAAATGAAAGTTATAGAGGATATTGAATGAGTGTAAGTTCAATACTGAATTTATTGCACAAGTTAAATAAAATTATATTATGCGAGCATCTGGCAAGCATAATTTTTTTTTTCAACTCCTGCAATAAATTCAGTAATGAACTTACACAAATTTAAAATTCTATTTATCACATACCCAAAATAAAGACCGTTTAAAGTGAAATTATTAAGAGTATTTTTTCTTTGACCCGCCTATAGTGTAACGCTAACATTTAGCCCGTCTTTACACTATGTTTGTAAAACGCTAATGACGTCACATCAAAATATATGCACGGCCGTGCAATACCATATTTACGGAGTTGCAAAATCGGCATGGGTGTGTATATGGAACTTGACCAAGGGAAACAACTATGCAGATACTTATCATGTAACTTACTCAAAGTTACCTCCCTTTTCATTTGTACTTACTTTGCAATCTTTGTGAATTTTTCATCTGAAATTTCTGGCAGGAAAGTATCGCATTCAAAGTCCTTTAACACCCTTGTAAGATATATTCTACAGGGATATGGTCCCGCCATAGCTTCCTGTAGAAACATAAGGAGCAAAAAACAGTTTTAAAATTATGCTAGCTTACAAAATTTTATAAATTATTTAAACTAACTAGAGCCCGAGGTTATAATGAAATGTTGTAAGCTCGAATTTCAAATCTTTGGTATTTGATTGGTCAGAAACAAGTGCAGAAATTAACATTGACCAATGAAAATCCAGAGTTTGTTACTTCTATCAAAATAATGTAAAAACATGGCCATGATACAAGTTGAGTCAATTACACCTTAACCACATGGCCATCTTTCCTTCTGAATATAAAAAAAAATGTTCATAAATACAATGTAAATCACTCAAAACTGTTTTTTGCTTAAAGGGACTCAACTGAGATTTTTGACATAATGAGACTGGAAATATTTTTTTTCGAAATCAATGTTCCATTTGATGTAGGTCTAGACAAATAACTTGTGTGCAAAATTTGAAATCAATAGCTCACTCTGTAGTTCCAGAATGATTATACTTATTGTGTAAATGACCGAAAATTGAAAAGCGTTGCACAAAATACGATTTTCAATTGGTTTATAAGTATATTTTTAATCATCTTTGCGTATTTTTCTGTGTTTAATGCCTCAACCAATCTATGTAATAAATTCAAATTTTATGTTTTTAGTTTTTTAACTTCAGTGGAGTTATTTTAAAGTTAATAAAGTTAAATGAAGATAATAATAATGTGTTTTTTTTTAAATACATACTGAAGTTACTATTTCTATTATCAAAACAGATTTGTAAATCACATGAATTTTACATAATGGTCATATTCAAAGTACAAGCACAGTATGTAAGCCAAAAACCTTGCTATTTAAGATCACAAACCTTAAAAACCGATTAAGTACCTTATACACAGAGCTTCCCCCGATGATATGTATATTTTCCACAAGGTCAGATAACTCTGTTTCTACCAGAGATACAGCCTCTGGTAAACTTCTAGCTATATGAACACCAGTTGGTACCTCCCTTAATCAAAGTGCTGCAGCACTGAATGCGACGGACATGCAACCGGAGAGACATTAAGGCTTCTTTTAGAAAAAAAAAACAAAACAAAACACAAAATATATAACAGAGAAAATTTGTTTCATACAAGTTCGAGATTTGTAGAGCAATATATTTTGTGTCCCAAACTGATATAATTCAGATTTTCTACTTTCAAGCACTTAAATACAGAATGAAATTTATGCTTAAAAACTCTGGTCAAACTTGTAAATCAGTATCCTTATCGATTTATTCTAAGAAATGATATGTAAATAGAAAAAAAATTGTCAACGAAATATTTTTTAGAATAAATCCAGGCAAATAAACTTCAAACATAATACATTATACATTTGAGAATTCTATTTAGAATTGATTCGTGTTATATCATAGTGGGCATATAGACAATAAAATATAAGTCATTTGTATTTTCATTTCTCTTGGATATGTCTCATTAAAAAAAATTGGTTAAAATCATCAGCAATTAATAGTGTATTTCTTAGATTTTTTTTATTTACAAGGTAAAGATGTAGGCCAGAGCACATCGTTTTTATTTTAATTTAAATGTCACTTAAGCACTACAGTGTTTAGTTGTCCTTTTCAATTTCACACTAAATTCCATTTTCAACTTGTTTGCTTCTTACAATTGTATAGAATTTCTAAAAGTATTGCATGTAATCCACTGGTTTATTAATTACATGTATAATGTGTACTTCCTTATCGCATGTCCAACAAGAGCTGTCCGTAAGACAGCGCGCTCGACTTTTTTATTGCTTGCCAATAAAAAAAGTTTTTGCAGTAAAAGGCAATACAAGAATCTCTGTATTTTTAAAGTGAACAATGGCCATGAGCATTAAGATATTTAGTGAAGAATTATTTTATTATGACATAATTTATGGTAAAGTGAACAAGTGGATAGGAATGAATTTTTTTAGAATTTTTAAGTTTTTTAGTGCTTGCCTATAATACAAAACATTGACAGTTAAGGGCCATAATTCAAATAAAATCTTTGACAGAATTACCTTCTCCTGGACATGTTTGGGAATCATGATTGTAAACAAGTATTCCAACTTTCAAATTAATATCTCAAACAGTTCAGTCAAAAAGTGGACTGGTACTAAAAACTTAACCAAGATTCTAAGTCGATAAAAGGCCTTAATTTTTAAAACAAATCCTTGACAGAGTTACCTTCTCTTGCGTACAGATGGGGGTAATGATGTGAAATAGCATTAAAAGTTTCAAAGCAATATCTCAAAAGGTTAAGGCAATAAGTGGATTTTTACCCATATTCAATGTATTTTCTAAGTCAAAAAGGGGCATAATTCTGTCAAAAACCTTGACAGAGTTATGTCCTCTTGTCTGTTGATGAAGGTCGTGATGGTAAACAAGTATGGTCAGTTTCAAAGCAATACCTCCAATGGTTTTGAAATAAAGTGAGGTGGTACAAAAAACTTAACCAAGCTCAATACACTTTCTAAGTCAAAAAAGGGTCATAATTCTGTCAAAAACCTTGACAGAGTTATGTACTCTTGTCTGTAGATGGAGGTTATGATGGTGAACAAGTATGGTAAGTTTCAAAGCCATACTTGTAATACTTCTGAAATAAAGTGGGGTGGTACGAAAAACTTAACCAAGGTGTGACGCCGACGCCGACGCCGGGGCGAGTAGGATAGCTCCCCTTTTCATAGAAAAGTCGAGCTAAAAATCAGAACAGGTGAAGCAGAATCTATTTTTAGAATAGCGAAGGCTAACTCATATCATGACCTAGAAAAATATGTAAACAAACCACAAGAATCGGAAGTAGAACTGATATTATAACTTCCTTACCATGAAAGACTACATGGCGGTAAAGTGTTGTAAAACTCTCTAATCTTACATGCATTTCAAAAAATAATATTTATACTAACCATTGTAATGTATCTAATATATTAATAACTGCTGAATATTCAGCTAAACCCGCGGTATGAGTCACGAAAATAGTTCTTCTTTTATTAATGCGCGAGTTATCCTAGAGTCACGAAAAAACTTTTGATTTGTTAATAATAATGTTTTGTATAATGTAGAAAATATTTATTTCCTACTAATAATGTCTTGGAACTCGGAAGTTACACCTTTATTGTAGTATAATTTGCTGTCCTACTTTTTCGACAGCGGTAAATCGTTTCAGCAGTAATTTGCATATTGCGCAATAATATACGGGACTTACAACGTTTTTATCAATAATATACGTTCATATTTTAACTTGGATAACTTAATTTGAAATTGAAAAGGCTAAATATGGAAGACATTAAGATATCCAGTCAAAGTATGGGAGTTTTGAAGGATCAAATTCATGTACTATTTCTTGGGCTGTTAATTGGTTTAGGACACATTGCGCGATTGTAGCCAACGAAATCCCATGTGTAGATGACTTAGCTCTGAACGCGCCTGAGGGCGCGTCCGTCGCAAAAATAGGTTTACATATTTCTATATCAGATAGTAGATTCCTGATGATACTTGTTTATCTTAAAAAAAATTGAAAGTTTTAGTTTTAACCTACAAGCCAAACAATATTTTAAGAAAAGCAAACTAGAGAAAAATTTACTACGATTTTAAGATAATTAAAAAGATTTAAGATTCAAGTTATGAGGGATTAATTAAGGACTGATTTTGCAGTATTTATCACCATATTTTTACTTTGTTACTTACACAGTAAGGGCTATTCATACATATTTTAACTTATTTTGGTAATTTACATGCAGGGTTGCAAGTGCTGGTTGCAATGTGGAAATTATATTTTTTGTTCACTTCACAATATTTTACTTTTAAATAGACTTTTAAAATTTTCATGAAAACAAGCAAGTTCTGAAGGCACGCTGCTGCTTTAAACACATTTTACGTTCTGCTTTAAAGCAGCATGCCTCCAGATTCATGCTAATTTTCATGAAAATTTTGAAAATGTATTTAATCTTAAAAGTAAAATATTGTGAAGCGAACAAGGAAAGTAAATTACACATTGCAAACGGCACTTACAATCCACGTAAATTATCTAAAAGAGGTCAAAATACATGTATACATAAATACATCTTACTGCGTTAGTAATGCAGTAGAATTATAGTGATAGATACTGCAAAATCAAGTCATAAATCGCACGTAACATGTAAATATTTAATTAAATATTGAATCTTTTTACTTTTCTTAAGATCGTTATACATTTTTCGAAAGATTAAATTTCTTTAAATATTTTGGCTCATCTGGACACATTTTAGGTTATTATATCTTGTTATTTAGTCCACCTTACAAGATTTCCTGGATAACAAACCAGCTATTACCTTGCCAACTTCACTGCAAATGACCAACAAGTCTAGTCCCATAGATTTCCTATTCATTTATATAATCACTGAGAACAAGTGTGTGAATTTTAAACCGATTTCCTTCTATAGTTTTGAAGATTCGAACTTGCAAGCCAAGAATTAACCAAAGTGTGAGGAAGGTAATGCTAACAAGACAATGAAGCCAAGGTGAGTACAATAGCTCCCACTATTTCTTCAAACTGTTGAAGAACTGTTGAGCTGAAAATTATCTGAAATACAAAACTTATGATATCATAAAATTTAAAGTTGATGTCAAAAAGAAGATGAAACTAACATCATGTGAACTTTTTTTTCGATAATCAAGTGGCAGATTTTTCTTCAAAAAGAGGGAGATTTTAGAATTTGCAATAAACAAAGAAGGAAGTTTTGACTTCAAAAATACGTAGATTTCTTTAATTTGTGAAAATACCTCTTATTTTAAGAAAATATCGCTGCAGAAAGTGGGAGTCTCCCGCTTAAAGTGGGAGAGTTCACATGTATGTGTCAAAATATTATGCATAATATTGAATTTGACATCAGAAATATTAGATTTAATCTTGCTCTAATCTTAATATGATTTTACTGTCAGTTTATTTTGAGGCAGTAGATTTTTTCCTGATGCTATAAATAGTACTCACTTTAGTTCTCGACTAAGCACTATGTTAACACGTCCTTTCAAAGGTCGAAATTTTTCTGGTATAGAAAACCATGTTTTTCTCCCCATTATGACAGCATTCTGTTTATCTGAAAAATTAAAGTGCATAAAGCTTTTTATCACATAAACAGCGGGGCAGGAGTGTAATAAAGCCATGTAATAAAAATGATATTACACTAAGTAACACTTTGACATGACATCATTTGAGCTATATATAATCATAGCGTTAAAGCGCACAAATGTCAGCGTTACACTATAGGCCGTCAATGAAAAATGACTCATTTTAGCTGTAAACCCTTCTCTTTTTGAATATGTGATAAACAGAATATTATATTCGTGTAGATTCAATACTAAATTTATTGAACTCGTTGAATAAAACAATACTATGCTCGCCAGAGGCTCGCATAATATGTTTTTATTCAACTCGTTCAATAAATTATTAAACCTACACTCATGCAATATCCTCTTATATATCGATATCTGAAGTCTTTTGATTACCAAAATATTGTTTATATATCATGATTTAAGGGTTAAGCAGCATGCCTCCAGATCCATGCTAATTTTCATAAAAATTTTGAAAATGTTTTTAAAAGTAAAATATTGTAAAGTGAAAAAAGAAAGTAATTTACAAAATGCAATCCATGTTAATTACCAAAAAAAAACAAAAAAACAGTCAAAATGTACAAAAGTAGACGTTACTACAGTAAGTCACCCAGTACAAAATTGGTGATGAATACTGCAAAATCAGTCATTAATCACTTATAACTTGTAAATTATTACTTGAATTTTCATTTTTTTAGCTCACCTGTCACAAAGTGACAGGGTGAGCTTTTGTGATCGCTTTTCGTCCGGCGTCCGTCCGTCGTCCGTCCGTCCGGCCGGCGTCCGTAAACTTTTGCTTTAAATGACATCTCCTCATAAACCACTGAGCCAATTTCATCCAAACTTCACAGGAATGTTCCTTTGGTGGTCACCTTTAAAAATTGTTCAAAGAATTTAATTCCATGCAGAACTCTGGTTGCCATGGCAACCGAAAGAAAAATCTTTAAATATCTTCTTTTAAACAACCCTAAGAGCTAGAGCTTAGATATTTGGCATGAAACATCTTCTAGTGAATGTCTACCAAGTTTGTTCAAATAAAAGCCCTGGGGTCAAAATTGGCCCCGCCCCGGGGGGTCATTGATTTTCCCTATATGCATATAGTAAAAACTTAAAAAATCTTCTTTTAAAGAACCGTAAGAGCTAGAGCTTAGATATTAAGCATGAAACATCTTCTAGTGAATGTCTACCAAGTATGTTCAAATAAAAGCCCTGGGGTCAAAATTGCCCCGCCCCGGGGGTCATTGATTTTCCCTATATGCATATAGTAAAAACTTAAAAAAATCTTCTTTTAAAGAACCGTAAGAGCTAGAGCTTAGATATTAAGCATGAAACATCTTTCTAGTGAATGTCTACCAAGTATGTTCAAAAATAAAAGCCCTGGGGTCAAAATTGACCCCGCCCCAGGGGTCATAGTTTTTCCCTATATGCATATAGTAAAAACTTAAAAAATCTTCTTTTAAAGAACTCAAAGAGCTAGAGCTAAGATATTTAGCATGAAACATGTTCTAATGGGTGTCTACCAAGTATGTTCAAATAAAAGCCCTGGGGTCAAAACTGGCCCCGCCCGGGGGGGGGGGGTGGGGGGGGTCATTGATTTTCCTTATATGTGTATAGCAAAAACTTAAAAATCTTCTTTGAAAAAGCCCAAATAGCTAGAGTTTAGATATTAAGCATGAAACATCTTTAAGTAAATATCTACAAAGTTTGTTCAAATAAAAGCCCGGGGTTCAAAACTGGCCCTGCCCCAGGGGTGTCATTGTTTTTAACTATATGTGTATAGTAAAAACTTTAATAAATCTTCTTTTAAAAAACCCAATGAGCTAGAACTTAGATGTTTAGCATGAAACATCTTCTTATGGGTGTCTACCAAGTCTGTTCAAATAAACAAATAAAAGCCCTTGATTAAAAATTGGCCCGGGGGGGGGGGGGGGGTGCCTATATACAGGTGAGCGACCTCAGGGCCATCATGGCCCTCTTGTTTTACTTTTCTTAAAATATTAGTACATTTTCCTCAAGTTTGATTTTCTTGAAATATTTTGGCTCAACTGTAGGCATGCAGCTTTAATATTTCTTATTGTGGGCACATGGAATTTCCATTGGCGACTACTATGTATTTCTATATATTCACCAAAAACATGAACGTAACTTTAGGTCAGCAAAAAATTCAGATTTATTTATACCTAAACCAAAAAAAGAAATTTTTAGAAAATCTCTGACTTACTCGGGCCCCAAACTATCGAATAATATCCCTCTCTCCGTACGTAAATCTGAAACTGTTGGAAAATTTCAAGCGTCCTATATCAGTTGGAATCTCTCTTAAGTACCTTGATCTTACATAGATTTAGTGTAAAGTAATGTGTGTTCATGCATTGTACATGTATTTTGAATATGTATTATGTTTTTAATTATTTATGCATTGTTTTTATAAAGTAATATATTTTGTGTTTTCCTGTATATGTATTTTGAAAATTTCATTGTATAACCAGGATGTAAATTATGTATATTTTATGTATATTTATGTTTTTGAGGCCCACATGGAAGATTGGGAAACCAAATGTGTAGCCTCAGTAAATAAAGACTTTACTTACTTACTTACTTACTTACTTACTTACTTTCTAATGTGTATTTTACACAAGTTCAAAGACCATAATTCAATATATTTGAATCTACCTTTAAACTATAACTTTTATACATTTTAAACATTTTGTCCTCATTTAATTCACTGTAAATCATTAACTTTCAAACAGAATATTTAGACTTCAAAATTATTTACATTTTCACTTTTATTATACAAAAACTGGAATTTATTTCTGCACTTATTTCACCACTGGATTAATGTTACGCTACAGTTAATATTGCACCAAATGAAACAAGCAGGGATATTGAGATCTTAAATTCGTGGAATGTCACCCATCCATGAAATCCATGAAAATAAATGCCCCACAAATAATGATGGTTGTACAGTAGTAAAGTCATATGACATTATAATTTAGTCATATGATAAACTAAAAAATGCTTGCATAACACTACATATACATGTATACATGCATGTACAGTAACACAGTAACAATAAAATAGTGAATCCCATAAATATCTTGTATAAGATCTAGCCGATTATTGTTGATCAAGTTACGGATTTATATTACAGGGATCGGACACTCCCAGTTAACCCTATATAAATGCTTAAATATCCTGTCGTGCATCCGATAAAGGTACACCGATCGATAATTTACCGGCGCTAAGCGTAAATGCCCGTTTGCAATGGATACCTACTTTACAAAATACCATATAGCTTTTCCATTTATTATCCGATTTTTTAAATTTAAAGTTTATTTTGAAGAAAAATACTTGTTTAATTCAAATATCTAATTTATTTTTTTAAAGGTACAGTTTATCTGACCGCAACGACGATTAAAAAATTAACTTTAAAAAAATCCGCGGTAAATTTACATTTTTTTATATAAAAAGTAGGTATTTGAAATTTATTATCATGGTAACATAATAAATTCAATTTCAAAATAAAAAATAAGCCGATGTTAGTTATTCACAGATGATCAAAGATGCAATATTTAAGATTAATTGGGTTATGTAGTCAAATTTATTAACGCACAATTGTTTTAAGGGAAAAGTATTGCGGGCTTTACAATTCGCTCAACACGTGAAGAAAATTTATTCATTTTTTAGTACAAAATATTGCCGAGATTTAAATATTGCCATATTCAAAGAATATTTGAATTTCCTTCATCATTTATATCATTATTATTTTTTTGTAAATCTGTTTTCAAAAGTCGGTTCAGTGAAGAAGATAATCGTCGAAACAATTTTAAAAGTACTCTCGTGTGGCTGTCTCGATTCCGGCCTCGTATATTTTAAATATTCTTTTTATGTGAATGCCTGTAGAAAGATATTATTGATATATTTTAATGTAACGCTAGAAAAACAATAAAAATCTTAACAGTTCGAGTCAGTATTATGCGAAATAAAAGTAACTTTTGATTATTTTTTACACAGCACTTAAATTTCTTTGAAGTTTAATTACTTTTGAAGGGGGTTAATTACCAGGTAACAAGTGATAATTGAAAAACTTTATTTTCAAACTTTCATAACCAGGTTACATGTGATAATTGCAACACTCAATCTTCAAAAACAAATAGAATTTGAATGTATATTTTGTATGTGCGCGGTCTTTAACTACAGTCAATGGTATGTGTGGTAAGAAAATGATTCTGAAGAGGATATATATCAATACAATGTAAATCTATTTTCTTTATTAACATTTTTAAATGAAATAGAAAATATACAACTAAATTTGTATAGCCCTTTCTTTGAAAACTAATTAGAATAAACATATGACAAATAAATCATTTGACGTGAATTGTGAAGGATAAATATGAAAAAAATCTGTTTCAAAATAAAAAAATATATTATAAAACAGCTGTTCCGTATGCAAATAAAAGTTTCTTCCTTACCAATCTAATGAATTAATCTATATATGAACGCTTGTCTAGAATGATCTGAAAATATATTTAATACACTTATTAGTAGAATATTTACTATATTTATAGTAATTAAATATACAGGTAATCAAATAAAAAATGTACACATCATTTGGAAATAATTCACAGAAATAAAGACAAATTTCAACATGAATTTCTTCAAAAGTTTTTAAGCAATCAAGAAACATTTTTTTTGCAATGCACCCATTAAACCATGTTAAAAAAGAATTATCTTAATCTGAATCGCGGTAATAATTTATGCTTGAAGTAAAAGGGCGTCAAAGTGTAGAGAGTATGCCTAAACAATAGGGAATATTTTTTAAATTAGGTACTTTTTTAACTAAGCGTAGCATCGTTCTATCGGCATATTTTAATATATAAATACTTTAGCGACACAAAATAATACTGTATCGATACATTCATATGTATTTAATTTTTCACAAAGCTACAATAACACCACATACTCTTGTGAAAATCAGTCATATTTCGCACTCCGCGCGTTCCGCCATCTCACGTTCTGTCCACCTTTATCCTATGTGCGATTCCGCGCATGCGCGCGACGAGACTTTAAGCTAAACGGAAGTGTCCGATCCTTGTAATATAAATCCGTGGTTACAGTAAAGACTTTTAGGAAAAGATAAAGAAATTATAATAACTTCAGGACATAAAAAACACATGCTCTTACCAGGATTTATTGTATCTGATGTCATCTTTTTGAAAAATTCCATATCTTTCCTGAAAAATAACAAAATGTAGCAGAATATACCCACTTAGGCATTTTTTGTCACATACTAATTAAGTTATGTAACAAAGGTTAATATAAGCAGTTCTCTTAAAAATTTTCTTTATTTAAATGGGAACTTTAAATGTTTTAACCTCCAGCCATAGACAAATGTAAAAGCTTTCAGAAAATGTATTATTTTACTGATTTTGATATCTGGTTATTTATGTCTCTGCTACAGTATAAGATTTATAAAGCAAATTGATTCACTGTGATATAAATAATTCATAAGTTACCACATTATCATATGAATTATTAGTAAATATATTGTTGAGTACTGCATAATAACTGGTGGAAGGAAAGACATATGATGTAACAGCCAAATTCTAGAATTTCTAAGAATAAATATATTTATTCCACATATTTCATCAAAATAGACAATTTATAAAACCATTTTACCAGTAACAAAATGATATATTCAAATCCTGTACTGTTTGGTCACACTTTGTGTTAATTTACATTAATCATGTCACATAAACAAATAAACATGTAAAAATGTCTACATGTAACATCGCGAAATCATGTGAAAGTTATAATTAAATCACATATTTTACATGAACGAGAATATCTAAAAATGTGAAATTACTTCAAACGCCACGGTAAATTTCCATTTATACCAATTCCGTTATTATTACACGCTGCCACAACCAAATGAAGCTTCTTATGCATATTTGATCTCACTTGTCCAGCTGCACGACCAAAATAATTTTTTACACGACCTGGTGTATGTAAATGCCGTTTAGTACCGTACTTTTATCCGTCTTTTTTTACACTTACAAATTATAGAAAGCTAATAAGCTAAGCTAAGAAAATAAAAGCTAATATGCTATTTAACAAAAACTATAAAACCAGGTAGTTAATTCAAAATGTAATTAAAGTCCGCGATAAAATATACAAAGTTAACTAGCATATCTCAATCTGGAATGTAATATGAGCCGCGTCACGACAAAACCAACATAATGGGTTTGCGACCAGCACGGATCCAGACCAGCCTGCGCATCCGCCCAGACTGATCAGGATCCATGCTGTTCGCTATCAGTTTCTCTACTTGCTATAGGGTTTGTAAGCGAACAGCATGGATCCTGATCAGACTGCGCAGATGCGCAGGCTGGTCTGGATCCATGCTGGTCGCAAACCCATTATGTTGGTTTTGTCGTGACGCGGCTCAGATTATAATATGCATTCTAGTTAGCTTTTAAAAGCATTCATGAATTAAAGCAGAAATTTAAGAAAAAAATGCAATAAGATTAAAAAAAAAAAAAAAAAAAAAAAAGAATGATATATGTACATGTTCATATTGTAGGGGGGCTAACTGCTGAAATGTAGTAAAATACTATAGCATAGAGCTGACAATTTCATTGCGGTAAGAAAAAAACATAAATGAAAAAAAAGGAAATTTTCAACTAGTTAACAACTAGAGTGTAATAAATTACGTAATATTTTTTACTAAAAATTTATGACATTAAGTAAAGTAAAATAAGCACATAAAGTTAAAACTGCACGAAAAGAAAAAAATAGATAAAGCACTTAGTGAATAACGAACTAGACACAACAAGGGTTAACTAAAAAGAAAATACATGCACAATCTTAATATTGATGGGGAAAAAGAGACGTTTTAATTAAAAGCAAATAAATAAACTGAAACAGCAAGGACAAATTAGCATACAAAAGTATACAAAAATCTGGAAAAATGGTGATTCCTTGGAAGCATTAAAAACAACAAAATTACATGAAAATTTCAGACTTGGTTTGATTGAGTCTGTACATGGGGGATAAAGAAAAAGTGCAACATCCCAGAGGTCACAGCTTAAGCGGTACTTAATATGTGCTGACATTAATAATTCCGAAAGATCAGAAAAATCTAACAACACCGATGTGAAATACGGAGCAACTTAGTAAAGTTGCAACATGGCACTTAATGCATGGAAGTATAAAAATCTTGAAAAGGGGTGAAAAAAGTTTAAAGGGAAATTAAATACAACATTTAAAGAAAGCAAGCTAAAAGAGCATAAAATAAACATCCACATTAAAGAGAAAACTAGATTATATTAAAGACACATATAGCACATAAACAGCTTTGGTCACTCTAGGTCTGAATCCGTCTCCTTAACTCTTTGTAATTTTCAACATTGTGAATGATATCTGGGAGAATGTTGAACAGTAAAGAACACAGCCATACCAGTAGGGCACCCAGAAATATGAGCCGTGTCACGACAAAACCAACATAGTGCGTTTGCGACCAGCATGGATACAGACCAGCCTGCGCACCCGCGCAGTCTGATCAGGATCCATGCTGTTCGCCATCAGTTTCTCTACTTGTAATAGGGTTTGTAAACGAACAGCATGCATTCTGATCAGAATGCGCGGATGCGCAGGCTGGTCTGGATCCCTGCTGGTCGCAAACCCATTATGTTGGGTTTGTCGTGACGCGGCTCATATAGGCTTGATTCTTAATAAATGTAGAGTACAGTGTAGGCCTATTTACTTTTTCCAAGGGAATTTTACACATTCTTCACAATCTATTATAACATTATTAATTTGGAATTGTTTTAAGTGTTTATTTGTAGTTTTTCCAAGAGCTATGGCTTGAAACTTGTCAGTGTTAGCTTGGAGTTAGTTTATGTTTTACCAGTTAAAAGGTATTTCGCTTCAATTTTTGATATTTTCCGGTATCATCTGCGTAACTGCAAGAGGTGGACTTATCTATAAAGTATATAAAATATCATTCTTAAAACAGTTAAAAATCAAAGACCAAAGATTAAAGCCTTGAGGCACATCCTTAATTGTTTCAAGCCATTTGCTATAATGATAATATTTAGCATGTTAATTGAGTACAATATTATGGAACGACGCATATTAAATATTTATTATCAAAGTTGGTATTGTTCTATCAATAATTTTAGTCGTCTAGATACATACAATTCTATAAAATATAAATTTGAATTTGAAAGTTATCTTGATTATATTAAGGACAAAAGATTTCGAGTTGTGCATGCAAAATTTCGCACATCATCTCATGACTTGTTTATTGAAAAGGGAAGATATACAAACGTACCTAGACTGGAAAGAATATGCAATAATTGTTCTTCGAGACAAATTGAAAACGAATTTCACTTTTTGTTTACATGCTCACCGCAAAAAATATCTAAGACGCTACTATTATACATGGCCTACATTGCAGAAATTTACTAATTTATTATTGTCTGAATCTAAAATAATTGTAAGAGATCTTTCTTAATATTTATATTATGCAAATTTGATAAGAAAATAGTTTTACAGAACCTCAAACACGTCATAATTATGAATTCATATGTTTTACATTGTATTTTTGTGCTCCTTGAAAAATCCATGTCTTCTGCCCATAGTTAATATGAGCCGTGTCATGACAAAACCAACATAATGTGTTTGCGACCAGCATGGATCTAGACCAGCCTGCGCATCCGCGCAGTCTGATCAGGATCCATGCTGATCGCTAACAAACACTATAACAAAAAGAGAAACTGATAGCGAACAGCATGGATCCTGATCAGACAGCGCGGACGCGCAGGCAGGTCTGGATCCATGCTGGTCGCAAACGCATTATGTTGGTTTTGTCATGACGTGGCTCATATGTTGTATGTGCTATTAACATATATTGTATGATAACGCAATAAAATTATTTGAGTAGAGTCGAGTTGAGAATCACAGTTTTAGTGTAAACTCAATATACATTAAATATTATGTCATTCAACAGGCCAGCCATTTTTGTTTACAATCGACAGTGGTGGGCTGTTCAGGTACAAAATCAAAGCGTTTTTGATATTTCGCGGAATATCGTAATAGTACCTAATGTGGCTTAATGTATTAATATATCAAAGATATAAATGACTTACATGTTAGGTATATTTTTGAAGCAGACTTTAATGTAATTAGGGTAGAAAATGCAGCTTTATGTAATTACCTAAAATGTCCTGTCTTTACTTAAAGCAGCATGCCTCCAGATTCACGCTTATTATCAAGGAAAATTAAAAAAATATTCAAATGTAAAATATTGTGAAGTGAACAAAGAAAATAATTTACACATTGCAAACAGCTCTTGCAATCCACATAAATTACCAAAAAGAGGTCAAAATAAGCAAAATTAGCCCTTACTGTGTTAGTAACGCAGTAGAAATATGGTGATAAATACCGCAAAATCAGCCCTTAATCGCATATAACATGTAAATTTTTCTTGAATCTTAAAAAAATTTACTTTTCTTAAAATTTTAGCACATTTTTCTAAAATTTAATTTTCTTGAAATATTTCGGCTCATCTGGAGGCATGCAGCTTTAAATGATCTTGTCAAACTATGTTGTGATGAAGGCTTCGAACCAATACTTCATGTGCAAAATGTAAACATCAAGGCTTATGATTTCATTGATCATTAATATTTTTTTCAATTTAGTTCAAGTTGGTGTTAATTGATAATTTCAATTAACGATTCTATTTCTGGTTGTGCAGAATTTCTATTTTGAAAAGCATAATGAATTTACTACATGGAGTTGTAAATTAAAATGAAAATTTTACTGCATTAAGCCATAGTCATCAACAATTTCTAGTTCTAAATTTTGGGTGTGCAATTATTGCAATAAAAACATTTCTTTTTGTTTTTTTAACATCAATAATAAACATGAATAAAGCTCTTTTGACATTTTATTTATTTGTGAATGTCAATAACATCAAAACCAGTGAATATTTCATTTTCTTTAGTTATTGTCGTTTACGTGAATGGCTCGCTTGATTCTTCGGGACTGGTAAATGCGCCGGAACCAGTCAAATAACTGTAATTTATTTTGTTCCCTACATACATGTGAACTCTCCCACCACTTTTAGCAGGAGACTCCCACCTTATGCAGCCGTATTTTCAAAGATTTTTCTTAAAAATAGGGGGTATTTTAACAAATTAAAGAAATCTCCCTATTTTTGATATCAGATTCTTTGTTTATCAATCTCCCTCTTTTTGAAGAAAAATCTCCCACTTGATCGTCGAAAAAAGTTCATATGTATGGTACTATTCTCTCTAGTTATGTATTTTCTTCTATCAGTATTAAAGAATGGGCATTAAATAAGTAATTGAGCCGCGTCACGACAAAACCAACATAATTGGTTTGCGACCAGCATGGATCCAGACCAGCCTGCGCATCCGCGCAGTCTGATCAGGATCCATGCTGTTCGCTATCAGTTTCTCTACTTGTAATAGGGTTTGTAAGCGAACAGCATGGATCCTGATCAGACTGCGCGGACTGGATCCATGCTGGTCGCAAACCCATCAAGTTGGTTTTGTCGTGACGCGGCTCAATTGTATTCATCTCATAGAGAGCTAGACTGTTGCACAAGTTATATACGTTGCAGTAATACATTTTAGGTAATATGGCAATTTTTCAGCTTTACTGATGGAGGAAGACCTCATGTGCCCTTCCGTGCATTATTTCAGGCAAAAATGGGACCCGAGTAGAACCACAGATGTTCCATTAGTTATGTGGGTAATTTAGCCCAAAGATGTGAGGGGCAAGTGGTTTAATGTTGACCTTGACCACGCATAATTTGCTGCTATTTTCTGGACATATGTCAACTAGTCATGATCTAGGCCATATTACCCGAGACTGGAAGGTTAGGCGACATATCCCAAAATTTAAGAATGTCTCTCCTTTATTTTATACTGCAATGATTCACAGGCCTTATGCTCCCATACACACTGCTG